TGCATAAAAAATATTTTCCTAAAAAAAACTATTTTCTACTCTCTAACCAAACAATAGAAAATATTTTCCGGAAAATGTTTTCCACTTACCAACCAAACAAGAGAAAATAAGTGATAAAACCACTCATTTTCCATGAAAACATTTTCTAGGAAAACATTTTCCATGGAAAACATTTTCCTTCGTACCAAACACACCCTATACGTTAAGTGCTTATAAGCCAAAAATAAGCCAAAAGCAATAACTTGGTCTCCCCCAACTTATCAAATTTTAGCTTATAAGCACTTTAGGTTTGACCAAAATATTTACTATTCTATCCCTAAAATACTTCTTTTTAGAACAAAACTCTTCGTATACCCAGCTCTTGAGCTACTTATTATTAATTTCATCACTTTTATCCAAACACGTGACTGATTATTTTTTTATATCAGTTTCAGCACTTAAAGGTGCTTTTCAGCACCTAATGTTTATCAGCTAATCTAAATCAGCTAAGCCAAACGGGCTCTTAACCTTTTTTTTTTTTTTTTTTTATAATAAAACATCCAACTTTTACCAAAATTATTTTCAACAACTAGGGTTCTTGTTTCTCCCTCTTTCAAACTGATCAATGACTGATTCTAACTCCTACTTTCCTCCCGATCTTTTGGTCGAAATCCTTCTAAAACTTCCTGTAAAATCCCTGCTCCGTTTCAGAGCTGTCTCCAAATCATGGAATTCCCTTATCAGCGGCCCTGTTTTCATCTCCACACACCTCAACCAAACCCCAAAAACCCCCACCCTTCTTGTTAGGCGTTACGATACTCACAATAAAGAATATTATTCACTATTTCAAGACTGTAAAAGTCGACCCTTTTGCTTGGATTTCTCATCACAACTGAATCTCCCATTCAATTGCCAACTTGGGTATTTCAGAATAGTTGGTAGCTGCAATGGAATCATGTGTTTGTGTGATGATTTTTTTGCTGACGTAGGGAATGTAGTTATAGTTCTATGGAACCCTTCTATTCAAAAGTTTATAACTTTACCCTTGCCTTTAATTAGGCCTAAGTCACCCCACATGTTTGTACTTGGATTTGGTGCTGATAATTTGTCTAATAATGATGATGATTACAAGTTGGTCAGACTTGTGTATCATAAGAATGATGATGATGTATTTTCGCGGTATAATGTTCCTCCTGAGGTTGAAATTTATTCACTCAATACTGGGGTTTGGAGGAGAGTGATAGGAGTTGAGATTAAGCATTGTGTGGTGGAGTTTATGTGGTCTCAGGCTTTTGTGAATGGAGCTGTCCATTGGATTGCATATGATGTGGGCGAGAACGGTGGTGTTCGGAGTTTAATTATGTCTTTTAGTATAGCTGATGAGGTGTTTGGGGATATTATGTTACCGGATGCTTTAGCTGGTCAAATTGCAACGAATTTATCGATCATGGTGTTTGAGGGCTCCCTTGCTGTTGTTAAGTATGAGAGGGAGATAGATGGTGGTTCATGTGAAGTATGGGTGATGAAGCGGTACGGAGTTTTGGAATCTTGGACTAGATTTTATAGTATAAATTTGGATGATATGGAGAGAGTAGTTGGATTTAGGAATAATGGTGAAGTTTTGTTTTCAACTAGGAGCTATGATCTGGTTTCTTATGATCCAAAGAGTGGACACAAGAAGGATCTTGGTATTCGTGGGAGTTCCCGCTCGTTTTATGTTCAAAATTACATGGAATCGCTTGTTTTGCTTCAAGGAGATAATGTAGTTTCGGACGAGTTCTTGGAAGGAATGGGAAGTTTATGGATTGAAGACTAGCTGGACTATAGAACTTCTTGGTGCACGAAAGAAGAACGTGATTAGAAGGTAAAGTATTTTACCAAGTTCAATCGACATGGAATGTCGCGTTCTGCTAATTCTGTTTCATGGCATAGTGGGAGTGTAAGATGTTTTATCAAATTTGGTTCACCTAGTTTAGAGCTATCTAATTATGACATATTGAATGTGGAACTTTTGCTTTCCCATTTGTTGCCTGATATTAGTTGTTAGTGCACTCTTGTTGTTGTTTTGATGTATTTCTCGTTTAATTATTGTGATTTCATATCTTAATCAAGCAATGGACCTCAGGGGCGGAGCCAGCCTTATAACTACGGGTTCGGCAGAACCCAATAGCTTGACTCAAACCTTGAATTTGTGTTAAAAAATTTATGTGAATCTGTATAAATATTCTATTTAGACCCCGTAAGTAAAAAGGGTTATGGTCCGTAACCCGTAAACTAAAATCCTAGCTCCGGCTTTGACGGTCCTTGTCTCTATCTGTAGTCAACTTAGTTGCAGAGACCTTGTCTTTTTCCGACTGGCATTTCTAGTTTCATATCTTCCCTGAAGTAAATCACCTATACAGACCGAGCCTTGTTCCATTTGCAATGCTTTCTAGTTCTCTACGTGTTGATTTTGCTTTTCATTGTTCTTATATTTTGAGCTATATATATGTGGTTAACCCTTTTAAATTATCCATGTTTGGCACCCCCTTTGACCCATAGTTACAGGCGATAAAGCTTTCTGTCTCATCGATAGCACTTGTATGACTATTTGCCTAAAGTATATTTGATAGGTGGAATTGCCATACTTCTCCCTGATACCGAAATTGGCGTGTAATTTAGCTCAATCCAAGAAGAGAGCCCTGTACAAAGTCAGTGCTGCAAAGGGCCAAAAGTGTCTACCGGAAACAACCTCTCTTCCCTCCTAAGGTAGGGTAGGGGTAAGGTCTGCGTGCACACTGCCCTCCCTAGACCCCACTTGTGAGATTTCACTGGATTTATTGTTGTTATTGCACCAAAGGGCCAAAAGTCCTTAGCATCTAAAGTATGCACTGTTGTGACCTTGTCTTCAAAGCATTTTCTATTTTGCTCCATATCTTCTTGATACATTTTGCTCCCTTGCAACCGCACAACAGTTAAACGGATCCTTAATTGAGTACAGCATCACCCCACATTTGAGTTGGATGAGTCCTCTATGTCGTTTCTTCTTGTTGTGGAGGAAATGGAGTTTGATTTATTTGTTCTGTGCAAGAGTTTATAAAATCACTTGGTGTTGTATTCTTCTTGTAGAAGTATTGGGGAAAGGTGATTAGGCAAGACAAGGCGATTCTCCAGCTTACTGGGAAGATGACCGTTGATAGGAAGTTGTGGAGGTCGAGAATTAAGGTAGTATGCTAGGTAGCCGAGGTGTGTCCTTGCTCGTTCCAGTAGTTTTAATGCATCTCTCAGTGTTAGTCTTGTATTTTCTTATTATTAGATTTATGTTATTGCTTACTTTTCTTTCGCTTTGGTTTTCTGTTTGGTTTGCTGTTACTCTTTCTTCTCTATCTTTCCTGAGTCGAGGGTCTTGTATTTTAGCTGACATATATTAATATATAATAGCAGCAAGCTGTTATCCATCTAACTTCATTTCAAATAATCTTTAGAAATTTAGAGAAATCTTCAGAAGCCTCTGCCTCTTTATATGGAAAATGGCACCCAAGTGCAGAGCTTGAGTTTATACTATCACTTAAAATTTCCTTTCAGTATTTATCCAAGGTTTTAACAACATTCCTATTTATTTAGCATTTATATACCCTACTATTTTCCAATCAAATAATGAGAGAAATTGCAACTAGGAAGAACAAAAATTTTTTTATTCCTGAAAATGGATTTCATAATTTTGTGCAATTTATTGTCTTGCTTTTGACATTTATATATTCACATAAAGTTCCCATAATATTGCTTTACTATATGATTGACCAAATAACTAAATCTAACCAATGATGAAGTTGAAGATATTCTCAAGTCTCCACACGCCTAATTTTCTGTTCACACCGAATTAGTAGGTAAAAACATTTGGAACCACGAAAGAGTTTCGTGGGATGGTCGCTATTCATATACTCTTAACGAGTTTTCGGGTTCGAACCTTGAAAATATTAGAACTTTTAATAGGGTGTCTTTACCCCGTAATGATCGGGGCATTTGCATCTATACCCGTTTTTTGTGCCACATTTTAACTTGTGCCCGCTTTGCAAAAAAAATTGCAAGCGTACCCGCTTTTTCACATAACTTCAGCCCACGGGGCTGAAGTTTTTCTTTTGTACTGGAAAACTTCAGCTGAAGTTTTTCTAGTTTTCCAGCTTGAGTTTTTCAGTTATAAAATAAAAACTTAAGCAGTTTCCAGCTTAAGTTTTCTAGTTATACAATAAAAACTTAAGCAGTTTCCAGCTTAAGTTTTCTAGTTATACAATAAAAACTTAAGCTCTAGAGCTTAAGTTTTCCAGTTATAAAATAGAAACTTAAGCAGTTTCCAGCTTAAGTTTTCCAGTTATAAATAAAAACTTAATCAGTTTCCAGCTTAAGTTTTCCAGTTATAAAATAAAAACTTAAGCAGTTTCCAACTTAAGTTTTCCAATTATAAAATAAAAACTTAAGCAGTTTCCAGCTGAAGTTCTTATTGTTTCCAGTTATAAAACAAAAACTTCAGCTCTTTTCAGTTATAAAATAAAAACTTCAGCTCTAGTTTTCCAGTTATAAAATAAAAACTTCAAGTTTTTGTGTTGTAACTGAAAAACTTCAGCTCTAGAGCTGAAGTTTTTGTGTTGTAACTGGAAAACTTGAAGTTTCTATGTTATAAAATAAAAACTTCAGCTCTAGAGCTGAAGTTTGCCAGTTATAAAATAAAAACTTCAGTTAGAGCTGAAGTTTCCTAGTTATAAAATAAAAAACTCCAGCTCTAGAGCTGAAGTTTTTGTTTAGTAACCCAGAAACTTCAGCTCTCAGTTATAAAGGGAAGCTGAAGTTTTTTAAAAAGTGGGTACGGATGCAAACAAAAAGACAAAGCAGCTACAGGTTAAAGAGGGGCGCCCAAATAGGGCGCCCCGTGCAATTTTTACGTAATGATCCGATTCCGCGCGAATCAAATTAGCTGAGCTGATGAATTTCAAATATCGAATAATTAAAGAAAATATAAAAAGACTTTGGTGTGAAATCTATTGTAAAGATTAAAAATTATAGATGTGCAATTGGATTTTTTACAACAACCTAGCAGCTTTCATATGGTAGTGACTAGTGGTGGAAGCAAGATTTTCGCTAAGGGGATTCAAAAAATAAAAAAGTAAACACGTAAAGATGCTAAGAGGTTTCAACATCTAATATATATATATATATATATATATACATGGAAAAAGTTTGACCTCATATACACAATGTAATTTTCGACGAAGGGGATTCGGCTGAACCCCTTCCGCTCCGCCCCTTGTAGTGACAGGCCTAATGCATTATCAGCCACAAATTCAGTATTGGCCTAATAATTCATGTACGAAAGTCACCTCGTGAATCAGAAGCAATAGGTTCTGTCACGTGCAATATTTCTATATATTGATAAGCCAAACCTATTCTCTGTATTTCTAAAACAAAAGCTACAATGGCGTCTGTGATTGAGCAATGTCAAGTTGCGCCATCTCCCGGCAGTGCAGCTGAGCTCACACTCCCTCTCACATATTTTGATCATATGTGGTTAGCTTTCAATCGTATGCGGCGGATTTTATTCTACAAGCTCCCCATTTCCAGATCCGATTTCGTCCAAACTATTATTCCTACTCTTAAAGATTCACTCTCCCTCGCTCTCACACACTATATACCCTTAGCTGGCAATGTTGCTTGTCCACTAAGTTCTAGCGGTTATCCTGAGCTGCGTTATGTAATAAGGGATTCTGTGTCAGTTATTTTTTCTGAGACTGATATGGATTTCAATTATCTCATCAGTAACCATCCTAGAGATGCTAAGGATTTTTATCACTTTGTTCCTCAGTTGGCAGAAGCTAAGGATGCACCAGGGATTCAATTAGCCCCGGTTTTAGCTATTCAAGTGACACTTTTTCCGAATATTGGCATATCCATTGGTTTCACTAACCATCACGTCGCTGGTGATGGAGCTACTATATTAGGGTTCATAAGGGCATGGGCGTCGCTCAATAAATTTAGTGGAGATGAACAATTCTTAGCTAATGAGTTCGTTCCATTTTATGATAGGTCCGTAATTAAAGACTCTCACGGACAAGCGATGTCTATATGGGATGTGATGCAGAAATTTAAGTTGGAGATGTGTGAGATTGTGACTCCTCCTGATAAGGTTCGAGTTACATTTATTATAACACAGGATGACATCACGAAGCTCAAATAATTAGTGAGAATACAAGAAAAAAAAAAACGTATAATGTGTTGCATTTTTTTTTAGGGTTTGACTTTCGCATTTCTAAGAGTTAATTAGTAATTAAGTTATTCTATGTAAAAGAAAATCACAAAAAATAGTTTAAATTTGTATTTTTATTCTAGNGAGTTCTTCGGATGTGTAGCAGATTGTAGATCGCGTCTCAATCCACCACTTCCTCCATCTTATTTCGGGAATTGCCTAGTGACGCTCATTGCAAGAGCAAGTCATGTTGACTTAGTAGGAAAAGAAGGCTTTACAATTGCTGTGGAAGTAATTGGAGAAGCCATTCAGAAAAGGATGAAGGATGAAGATTATATACTGACTGGGGAGTGGTACAAAGAATTTACCACCATAGACATGAAGCGATCCCTTTCAATTGCTGGATCGCCAAAGCTTGACTTATATGCTGTTGATTTTGGTTGGGGAAAACCAGAAAAGTTAGAGTTCGTTTCTATCGACAGTGACAATGGCATATCAATGTCCCTCGGTAAGTCCAAGGACTCAAATGGAGATTTAGAGATTGGCTTGTCTTTGCCTAAAACTCGAACGAATGCTTTTGCTGCTATTTTCACCCACGGGCTTAGCTTTCTGTAACTTTGGTTATAATTCTATTTTCGGAGCAAAATAAAGTTGCATTTTAAGTGTTCTGGTGGATTAGTTAGAGATGAAATACTTCAAATTGTAGCTACAATAATGGGATACTTTGCTAGTATTAGTGAAGATCAGAATCCTTATCTTTATCCAATAAGAAATTTAAATTGCACTTTCAAGTCATTTAAAATCCAACTGTCTTAAACATCAAGAGGTTTGTACCTATTGAATTCACTTACTTCAAACGAAGGGAAGCCTTGAAGCAACGGCAAAATTGTCTCCGTGTAACTTATAGGTTACAAGTTCGAGCCGTGGAATCAGCCACCGATTGCATTAGGGTAGACTGCCTACATCACACCTCTTGTGGTGCGGCCCTTCCCAGAACCCTACGTGAATGCAAGATGCTTCAAGGCGGGTAGATCGTGGCAGCAAAGTCACTCTGCCACTTAAAGTATCCCGTTGCGTATTTAAGTCGTTTGCAAAGAATTCTACTCGCAGCTCCATGTAGTGAGATAATTTCAAAAACTTTTTTTGTTTGTTTGTTTGGACGGGTAGTTGAAATAAGTTCAAGCTTTCAAAAAGAGAACTATCCAACGGTATATATATAAAATCAAAGTTGGGCGGCAAAAGCTACAAAGCAATGGGCACTTATTCTTCAAACTTCCTACGTTTGCTCTCTTACACAAAGCTCTTAACATCCCACGTTAATCAAGCCCGACATGAACAAGCTCTTTCTCTTTTCCACCAAATTCACTCTACACTTTCCCTTTCGCTCGACCCCTTCGTATTTCCTCTTGCTCTTAAGTCATGCGCCGCCCTTGACTTCTTTAAGCTCGGCACCACCATTCACGCTCACACATACAAAGCATCTTTTACCTCCAACCCTTTTGTTGCTTGCGCTTTAGTCGACATGTATGGTAAGTGTGTCTCACTTGTGTCCGCACGTCAACTGTTCGATGAATCTCCTGAGAGAAACGTAGTCGTTTGGAACTCGATAATTTCGCTTTACGCACATTCTAATGATGTTGACAGTGCGTTAGAACTGTTTCGAGTAATGGATGTGGTGCCTAATTCTTCTACGTTTAACGCGATTATTGCAGCGTTGGCGGAAACAGAGGATGGGTTTTCTAAGGCCATTTTGTGTAATAGAAAAATGGAAAGAATGGGTTTGAGACCGAATTTGATTACGGTTCTTGCATTGTTACGTGCATGTATTGGTATAGCAGATGTGAATTTGATCAAACAGATTCATGGGTATTCAATAAGGAATGACATTGATCCGGACCCACAATTGAGGAGCGGATTAATTGAGGCTTATGGGCGTTGTGGGTGTCTTGACAAAGCCCATCATGTGTTTGTCAGTATGAGGAACAGGGATGTGGTTGCTTGGAGCAGTTTGATCTCAGCTTACGCGCTTCAGGGGCAAGCAAGAACGGCACTTGAAGTTTTTAAGGAAATGGAAATGGCCAATGTAAGGCCCGATGGGATCACTTTCCTTGGGGTATTGAAAGCTTGTAGTCATGCTGGATTAGCTGATGAAGCACAAATGTACTTTGCTCGTATGAGAGATCGATATGGTGTTGAAGCAAGCAGTGATCACTATGCTTGTTTAGTAGATGTATTGAGTAGGGCGGGAAGATTGCATCAGGCTTATGATGTTATTAGGCGAATGCCAGTGAAGGTGACTGCTAAAGCTTGGGGAGCACTTCTTGCTTCTTGTCGAACTTATGGAGAAGTCGAGCTGGCAGAAATAGCTGGAAGAGCTTTGTTTGAAGTAGAGCCTGACAATCCTGCTAATTTTGTGATATTGGCAAGAATTTATGCGAGCAATGGGCGATTTGAGGAAGCGGAAGGACTCAGAAGAGAGATGATCAAGAGGGGCATGAAAGCAGCTCCTGGTAGCAGTTGGGTAGTTCATCAAGATTGACTTTTCAGGTGTTTTTTGGGTGGTGGGGATGAGGGTTTTGGCAGAGGCGAATGCAGCATTTCGGCACCGGGTTCATCTGGACACAGTATTTTCAACACAGAGCATAAATTTATGTGTAAAAATTCACCAAAATTGCAACAAATAGTAGATATGGACCCTTAGTTTTAAAATACTATGGGGTTCAATACTAAGTAAATCGATAGAATTTAAATCCTGAATCTGCCTCTGGTTTTTAGAGGAAGAAGAAAAAGTGAACGTTGCAGCAAAGAGCTCTTCCCGATTAGAAAGGCAACTGGTGAGTTTACTAAAAATTTAATGTGATTTGTACAATGTTTGACATATGAATTTGGAGAATTCATCCAAAGAGCTGCGCTGTTTCCTGTATTTGCCTTCTGCAGAAAGCTTGTCTAAGTCTGATGACATTCTGCTTGATTTACAATGCTTAATGTAATTTACAATATCCAAATGAGAGCACCACTGATGATTGCTCCATGTGATATAATATCCAGTTGATTTTGTGTAAATTAAAGCATGTCTTATGTAATGACCGTTAAAAGTGTATGACCATCTTATCTAAAAGTTTAAGCTATTAGATAGAACACACTTTTATTTATTAATTATGTCTTCAACACGCCCCTCACGTGCATGCTTGATTCTTTTTGACGAGCCAAGCACATGAAATTATTTTTGATATTGGGTGGCGGTGAGATTCACCCAGGACCTCTGCCTGCTCTGATACTATGTTGAAGTGTGTGACTAACTCTAAGCTTTTAGATAAGATTGTCACACACTTCAACAATGATACCCTTTTACGAGAAGTAAAAAAGTGCAAATTTAATTCTATTGTGAGGTATAACAAAACATTTTCTTTTGGAACGATTCTCAATGTTATCATGATATAAATAGGATGATTTTCTTACCAAAGAAAATGCAAATTTGCATAAGATAGAAATCTCACTATTTGTGTATGTGTTTTCTGTCTCATTAAGTAATGGCAGCATTTGGTACATTGCTATGGTAAACAAAAAAAATTACAATGAATACTGTGAAGAAAAATTAAAGAAAAACTCAAACATTAAAAAAAATTTCCGACCTACCGGATTCGAACCAGTGACCTAAGGATTAGCTGTTTGACCAAACTACAGTCCTCCGCTCTACCAACTGAGCTAAGGTCGGATTTACTTATGAAATGTTCCGAAAGTTTTAATAGTCTGAAACAAAAGAGACGTGATTCTTATTCCCAATAATTTATTATACCATACAAGATAAAGAAAACCAAAAGAAATTGATACGCATGTACTACTTTCAATTTTTAAATGTTGCATTGTTTTCCTATTTATTTTTGGAGTGAATATGAATGGAAACTTAAACTTTTCTTGATTAAAGAGTAGTCCTCTCCTTACTCTTTCATGTAGAAGATTTATTCTTTTTTTATTTTTTGCCTCATCATTTCTATTCTATAACATCTGGTTTATTAACGTACAAAGGATATTACCTTTAAAATCCATAAAGAAAGTAATATAATCTTCTAAAAGTTTTCTCGGACAAAGAATAATTCACACACGATACTGTAAGATCATACGAAAATCAAATTTTGATCTAAAATCAAGTGAATTAATTTTTTTCCGGTAAAAAAGAAAGTTTTACAACCTTGTGTTCCTCCCTTGAGCATTAGAATTAATTATCTGAAATTGGATTTAGGATAAAGTTTATGTAGAAGAGATTATGCGCTCATGTATACATCCGAAAAGGTTTTAGATACAAAATTAATTATGTCATCACTTGTATAGCAAGAAATATTCTAAATTGCCAAAGGTGACACGTAGTCTGTGTTAGGTGTTGTCCTAATTTTCTTAGCATATTTTATTTTCCTATCTCTTGAAAGAAAGGGTAACATATTTATCATAATTGGGTTTTCTTTCTTGTAGAGAAAATTATAGATCTCCCATATTTGGCTAGTCCTTTTTCTTGTAGGGAAAGGTTTGGACTTCTATAAATTGGGGATCCTTCCTTCTCATTCAGTAGCATCCACAATGTAGCCATATGGGGTTTGAGAGTCGTGTTTAGGGGGAGAACTTTACGGGACAAGTGTAAGTGTGTCACTTGTGTTTGCCTCTTCGTGGGGTCGTTCTCTCGATATTTTGTACTCTCTTTTTATATATTGGATTGCTCATCTCCGTCGTGGATGTAGGTCAGTTGACCGTACCACGTTATATGTTTGTATCATTTTTGGTAGATTTCTCTTTTGTTGGATTTATCGTCGTTCAAGGTTTGCTTTACTAGCTCCCGCATAACACCTGAATTTTTCGGTGTCTGGTCCTTTGGTAACATAATATTTACTCTGATTTTGTTTTTACATTAGGAGGAAAGAAAAAAAACAAACAAAAGTGTAAGAATGTTCGAGGGCACGTTGTTCCTCTTGGCAGGAAGAAGATTTCTAGGTTGGCTCATTTTATATCTTTTTTCGTTTTTACAATGAAATAGTGTTAATTAACGAAAGTGGCGAGGATGTCAACCAAAAACTTGAGATATACCTTATATAATAAATGCTTTAGGATAAGTAGAAGCAACGCTGAATATATGCACGGTTAAGTTTAATCAGTATGAGAAGAATGAAGTTGATATGAGACTAGATGGGATTGCGGTGCCAAAATATAAACAATTTAGATATTTAGGTTCGTTATTTCAAGAGAATGAAATGATAAATGAAGATGTTACCCATTGAATTAAAACCGGATGGTTAAAACGGAGAAGTGCTATCGGGGTGCTATGTGATAGATGGATGCATACCAAAGTATAAAGTAAGTTCTATAGAACAACTATAAGACCGGCAATGTTATATGACAATGAATGTTGGACCGCTAAAGTCCAACATATCCACAAGATGAATGTTATAGAGACGTGGATACTAAGATGGATATGCAGTCATACAAGATTAGATAAGATCAGAAATGACCACATTCGCTGGAAGGTCCAGTAGCACGCATTGAGGATAAAATGAGAGAAGGTCGCTTGAGATGGTTTGGACATGCCTTGCATCGCGCTACAATAAACTATGGGAAGTGAAGGTATTAAATGAGGACGAGATAGACCTAAACTCATATGGAAGGAAGCTGTCTCGGAAGACCGATAATCCTTGGAATCAATGAATGCTTAGCTAAAGACATGGCACAATGGAAGAATAAAATTTATATAGTTGACATTTACTAGTTAGGAATAGCCTTTAAATTTGTTAGAGAACTTTTAATAATAATAATAATAATAATAATAATAATATATTATTATTATTATTATTATTATTATTATTATTATTATTATTATTATTTACATATATTTGAAGAGGAGCCTTGGCGTAACTGGTAAAGTTGCTGCCACGTGACCAGGATGTCAGAGGTTCAAGCCGTAGAAACATCCTCTTACAGAAATGCAGGATAAGACTGCATACAATAGACTCTTGTGGTCCGACCCTTTTCCAAACCCCCGCATAACGGAAGCTTAGTGCACCGGTCTGTCTTTTTTTTTATTTATTTATATATGTTTAACTTATTTTACTTTGGCTTGATGAGCTTAAACATAGAAATCATGTCTACTAAGCTTTGTCTAGGTATAATTGGTGAGTCTAAATAAACCTAATCAAACCTTTTCTTTTATTATTCAAATTATATATGCATCACAAAATACTAATTTTACAGTTTGAATGATAAATTAAGGTCGTAAGAGTACATATTAATAATTAGTAATGATTAAATGATAAACCCCATGTAAAAGACATGTTATGTTGTTTTAGTGCATGAGTAGTAAGTTTTTTCCTAATATCTAGTAATACAATATTCCATTAGGATTATAGTCCTAATGCAGCTTCTTAATGTTAGTAAGTATGAGATACAAACTCTCACTTTTTAATATCAAACCTAAGTGCAACCAAATGAAATAAAATAAGATGATAATAAAGTAGTTGCTGTTATTGAACAACCAAGTCGTTGTAGTATAGTGGTAAGTATTCCCGCCTGTCACGCGGGTGACCCGGGTTCGATCCCCGGCAACGGCGTCTCATCTAATTTTTATGAACCATAGCGACAATTTCGAATACATTTTCTTTGACATGTCAAATGATTCCTAAATGGGATTAGGACCATTTTTTACCGCTCTTCTCTTCACTAGAGGCAGCGCGAAAAAGGAGTTTGCAGCATTTGGTACATTGCTATGTTATAACAAAACGAATTCTAAAAGGAATATTGTTAAAAGAAAAATTAAAAAAAAAAATTACGCTTGGAACCAAAAGTTCCGACCTGCCGGATTCGAACCAGCGACCTAAGGATTAGCTGATTAGGCTTTGCCCAAACTACAGTCCTCCGCTCTACCAACTGAGCTAAGGTCGGTTGTTGACATGTTATGCTCACGGCCAAATAAAACTAAATTAAGTCCTTTGAATATTGCGACTACAAAAATTTCATGACTCATATTTCCAATTTTTTTTCTCTCCCTGTGAAAGACAAAGAGACGAACAAAAACTTCATACGCATATTCCTACCTACCTATCTTTTAAAGTTTGCTTTCTTTATTATTATTTTTTTTTACGGTGAAAAGTAAAATTTGTTCTTGTACTATTCGAAATTGAGCAACTCGTCATCCGTTAAATATTTGAAATAACATTGCCCTTGTAGCTTTTTTTTTCCCCTTAGGCGTCTAAGCTCCACTTGAGAGTAATTATAAACAATAGTCAAGTTAAGGGGTAAATTTAGATTTTTCTTTCGAAGAACCTGAATACTTGGTGTCCACCTATTTTACACTGGAGTTATGTTAATGACAAGGACAAATATGAGATGATTTGTTAATGGCAAAAGTATGAATAAACCAAAGATGTAATAACAAACAAAATTAAGCAATTTCAAATAGTACATAAGCTAATTTGGACCTTTTTCTTTCTTTCTTTCTTTCTACTTATTTTTGAAGTTAATATGAATAAAAGGGCAGCTCATGCAGCATACAAAATATTCCGTATTTATGCAGGGTCATCCATGCCACTTATTATGTATTTGTCACGTCACTTGATACATAGAGGGCCATGGTTACTACAAAGAGGATACACACACCTTGACTAGTTACACAACTGACATGACATGTAAGGACTTGGTAGTCGGTGAACTTATCCAATCTTAAAGAATTTAAGTTATCTATATTATATTAAAAGCACGAAGGCCCTTAGCGAAATATCGTTAGTTTTTTTACCCTTTAAAACATAGAGTTCCCATAAGACAATATATTAATTTAAGTATTTCATAAATATTTAAAAATATTCACTTAATTAATTTAGTTTTCGGATTTTTTAGAAAATTTTTCTTCAATTATTTGTTACTAAACTTTGCCTTAATTAATTGGTTAAATTTTGTCACGTTTCTTACCCAAGGAAACTTAACAAAAAAAATTTCCTAAACTTTCACTCTCATTAAATTTTGTCACGTTTCTTATCCAAGGAAACTTAACAAAAAAAGTTTCCTAAACTTTCACTCTCATTAAATAACAAATTTCCTTTACTCTTTGGAGTATTAAATGAGTTATTATGTTGCCTTAATTATTTGGTAATAAAAATTTTCTACTGTTGCATAAGGAAAATTTATTGTGAAATTGCACAAGGAAAGTTTATTGCACGGGTAAAATGGAACCATCATTATTGTGGTTCCGTGCACATAAGGAAAGTGTTTAAAGAATTTCACTTGTTGGACGACACAAGGAAATATTTTGGTAGAAGTTTTTATTATTTGGTAAATTTTTCTTGTCTCTTTGACCTACACACAAATTTACTTTATAAAATTCCTTGTATGTGTTAAATTGTGTACCATAATACTTCTAGTATCACTACTGGAAAATGAGCCTATGGCAACGGCTGGAAAACCGTTGCAACAGACAGGTGAACCGTTACCATAGAGTTATTGGAACGGTTTGGCGACCGTTACATACGCTGCCGTGCCAATAGATCTAGAGTAACGGTTCTTGCAACGGTTATCTAAACCGTTGCTGGAGGGCAATCTATCGCAACGGTTTTTCCTTTGCCTGAAGCAACGAGTATTTCTTTCCAGTTGCAACGGTTAACAACCGTTACCATAGCGTTTGCAGCCGTTACCATACAATTTATTGCAACGGTTATGTAAGCTATTCAACGTTTATTTACATATATCCTAACGGTTTCATTACGCTACTGTAACAGTCTTATTTTTTTTTGCAACGGTTTTAACTACCTATTGTATCAGTTTTTCGCACATTTTGGAACGATTTGTAAGACCTATTGGGACGATTTTCAAGACCTATTAGAACGGTTCTAACTACCAATTGTATCAGTTTCTCACATTTTGGAACGATTTGTAAGACCTATTGGAAAGGTTTGCAAGACTTATTGGAACGGTTCTATTAGACTGTTATACCCTGGCTGTAAATGAATATTTTGTATATATAATAATTTGTAATAACCTGGAATTTATATAAATAAAAAGATAAAAACACTTCATAATCTATATTGTCCCATAAAACCAAAATGTTTTAACCCAAATCACATAAGTTTTATATTTCAACACTTCAAGAGTTAGAGTAAGTTTCAAATGTTGAAAACAAAAGATTCCTTGAACATGGACAACAATTCAAAGTTCTTAAGTAAGGTCTAGATCTTCCCAATCTCTATCTGCCCTTTCTTCAGTTGCTCCACCTACAAAAGAGGATAAATAAAGTCATTATCCTTCAAGGGTTGGTGTATCATTATAAGAATGGGTACGGTCCATAAACAATGCATAAAGCACAAAGTTTTCAAATGTATTATATTCAGTAGCATGTAATAAATCCAACAGAGAGTGAAAGAAATAAGTTAAATACCAACTCAAAATTCTAGCTTTGCCAGATTGCAAAGTCCTGAATATGACATTTGAAAGCACGATAAATATGCCATTTGAGAGCATGATAATAGATGATGGACGACATAAACTACATTCTTGATATGGTATACTAATTAAGAACCAAGACTATAATCCTATTTAGCCCTAAACTGCTAAAAAATAAGTTTAAGAAGTTTGTATTCTACAACAACTGGACTTCTAACCCTATGAACATTATTAAACCAAGTATAGCTTCCAAAAACATCTTTGTTTAATGGTTGCAAAGCAGTGATATAGACATACAGTGTTATAAAAGACCAACTATAGCAGCAGATGTTGCTACTGTTGTAGCAGTAGCCCCTAGAATAACTCTTGCACAACAAGATTTTAAAGTACACAACAAGAGCTATTGGCTAGAGCTACAAGGCAGGGACACTCGAGTTGGCAGATTCAGAAGGCTGTCCAGAATATCCAAGCATTACACTAAGACAGTCATGTATTGTTGGCAAGCAAAATTGACACCAAGAGGTGGGTTGAGGAGGCATGTCTATACTCCTACAATTCACAAAGAGGATCATACAAAGATATCATCACAATGCTCTTGGAAAACATATTCATCCATCATGAAAAATGCAACAGTATGTGATGGCCAGACTGGTGCAACAGAGGAAAAGCAGCAGCTGCGTGGGATTTGCATGGGTTATATCAATGTGCAGGTTACTTCACAATCAGAAAGAGTAATCAAAATCTGGAGGATCACATGATATATACAATCATGAATGAAGGAGAAATAGATGGCAAGGAAGATATGTGTAACGACCCGGTCGGTCGTTTTTGGAATTTACACCCCGATCCCCCATTAACTGCTTCCCCTAAGTTCATTTCTGCTATTTTGGTTTGCCGTGACGTTCGGTGTTAGGATTCAGAGTGTTTTGGGACACTTAGTCCCTAAATAAGAGCTTAAGTGTTGAAAAAAGGTCCGTAGTCGGAACAGTGTGAAGACGACCTTGGAATAAAAATCCGATGGTTCCGTTAGCTCCGTTAGGTGATTCCGGGGTTGGGAGCGTGTTCAGAATGTATTTTGGAAGTCCGTAGCTCATTTAGGCTTGAAATGCCGAAGTTTGTATTTTTGAAGTTCCGGTCCGATAGTGAGTTTTTGATCCGAGGGTCGGAATGGAATTCTGAAAGTTGCAGTAGCCCCGTCATGTCATTTGGGATGTGTGTGCAAAATTTCAGGTCATTCGGACGTGTTTTGGTTAGGTTTTTGATCGAAATCGTATTTGGAAGAAATTTGAAGTTCTTAGGCTTGAATCTTTGATTAAATCGGTTTCCGGTGTTGTTTTAGTTGTTTTAAGGATTGGTACAAGTTCATTAGGTGGTATTGGTGCTTTTGGTTGAGGTATCGGGGGCCTCGGGATGATTTCGGGTGGTTAACGGAGAAAATTTCTAAGTGTTGCAGCAGCTGGTATTTTTCTTTCTGGTATTTTCGCTTCTGCGGCCTGGGAACCGCAGAAGGCGGCCTTGGACGTCGCAGAAGCGACTTTTGGTCACCCTCCAGGAAACCGCAGAAGCGGTAGGAGTTCCGCAGAAGCGGATCCGCTTCTGCGAGATGAGAACCGCATGAGTGGAAGCTGGGATTTTTAAAGGGAGCCGCAGAAGCGGCCCGTGCTTCGCATAGGCGGGACCGCAGAAGCGGTATTCACTGTTCAGAAATAGCAATTTCGAAGGTTTAATTTCATAAGTTTGAAAAATCGATTGAGGGCTCGGGAGAAGGCGATTTTGAGTGGGTTTTGAAGAGAAAATCATTGGGTAACGTTTCTTTGATCTCTTTTTGTTATACTTTATCATTATATAGTCAAATACATCATGGGAATTCGAATTTTGGACCAAAAATTGGATAATTTGGGTTAAAACTTCATTGGCTAGACTATTGAGTTTTGAGTGGGCATTTGACCTCCAATTTAGGAGATTTTTATATGGTTAGACTCGTGAGAGTACGAGGGTTCTAAAAATATGAAAATTATTCGATTCCGAGACGTTGTCTTGAGGGGCATTTTGGTCATTTTATCTATTTTCGCGCCCTAGCTTTAATTTTAATAGTGGAATCGGTTGTTTGCAATATTATTTACGATATGTAATTGAATTGAATAGATTTGGGCCATTTGGAGTCGGATACTCGTGGCAAAGGCGTGGTTTCTATTGATATCGAGCCGGTTCGAGGTAAGTGGCTTGTCTAACCTTGTGTGGGGGACTTTTCCCCTTAGGATTGTTTCTTGATATTTGAGTGCCTTGTACGTGAGGTGACGAGCGCGTACTTGAGCCAATTGGTGAAAATCCGGTTTTCACTTAAGTTGTTGATATTTAGTTTTCTTTCCTACTTGCCTTATCCTACTTGAAGTTATACTTGTGCTAGATTTGGTAAGCATATTTAGCTGACTTAACTGCCTAATTGCTTAAGTTGTTTGACTGTACTACGTGAAGCATGCTAGGCTAATCCTATCTGTTGCTCTGTCTTTCGTACTTTATTCCTTGGTTTGTTTCTGGCTGTGGTTGCGCATTCACATTGGGACTACGGATGTGGGATTCCGCTAGCTCCCCCCTTGTTTGTTTACTTTGGCACTACGGGTTCGATTCCCGGTAGATCCCCCTGCACTTTTACTTTGGGACTGCGGGTTAGATTCCCGATAGATCCCCCTACATTTTGATGGTTGGACTACGGGACGGTATCCCGGAAGATCCTTCGGTTTGGTATATGAGTTGGACTACGGGACGGTATCCCGGGAGATCCACTGGACAGTTGAGGAAAGGGCTACAGGACGGTATCCTGGGAGACCCTCATTGTTATCATTGGTATTGAGTTGTATTTACTCTGTGTTCGCTCTGTCCTTGTTGTGGTTGTTATTGTCTCGTTGACCTGCCTTATTTCACTGCTGTATTTATTATTTCTGTCAGATTATTATACTGTTAATTATTGTTATTACTATATTTTGTCTCAGTATGGCCCTGACCTTCCTCGTCACTACCCAACCGAGGTTAGGCTTGATACTTACTGAGTACCGCTGTGGTGTACTCATGCCCTTCATGCGCATGTTTTTCATGTGCAGATCATCCAGGTACCTCTACTAAGGCGCACTAACAGTGAGGCAGGAGGACTACGGAGAATTCGAGGTAGATCTGCTGCGTCCGCAGACCGACGAGTGTCCCTCTTACTTTATCTCTAGTACTTAGTTTTTTTCTTCTTCCGGTTGTTAGATATTCTGGAGTTTGGAGCCTTTACTTTTCGCTTCTGTAGCCTGTGTTGCCCGTGAGTTTCCGGATTTTGGGGATTTTTTTGAACTTGTGATATTGAGTTGTACATGCCGAGCGGCATTCAGTACAGTTTCTTTTAGTATTTAATTTGGTTTCCTCTATTTTTCCGCAATTATTATATTTCTGCAATATTTGGCTTACCTGGCCGTGGGGACTAGGTGCCGTCATGACATGTTCACAGTCGGTGAACTAGGGTCGTGACAATATGCTGATCGAGGGAGCTTCAAATGGACTAGGATATGCTGGGCAGATATGGAACAAAATGATCAATTCACTAGGCAACATAAGACCACACTGGAAAACTGAGTTAAAGTGAAACCTTAGAAAAGAAGCAGAAGGAGAAGAAGAAAGAAAGAAACAATGAAAAGAAGGGGTGTAACATGTGGAGTACGTACTGACCTTGATTATTACTCTCAGTAGATAGACGATTGATTAGTTGTACAACAGCTTGTTGTGCAGAGGAAGCTTCTCCAGGTGAACGAGCATTGAAAGCTAGCATGTTGGGATCAACCCGTAAATCTGGATTCAGATGCTTAAGTTGTGAAATGATTTTAACTGCAACTTGTAGTTCGATGGCATCTTTTTGTGCATTGAACTTTTCCTACAATTGCTCCATCCTTTCTTCCATTTCTTCCAATTTTTGCTCCATTACCTCATCAGTAGAACTTGAGGTTCCAAAATCTCCCACTTTTCTTTTTAAGGAAGTCTTGGTAACCCCACGTCCATACAATCTTAGGCGACCTGGATGCTCAGGTCCCATGACAGATGCAAATGCATCAACTGATTGACTTCCATCTTCACTTTCTTGTGTTGATTGTATTTTTTCCATTTTAGCCTACATGACCAAATTGAGTAATTATTAAATCAGAAAGTATATGACACTAAGTCAATAACTAAGAACAGACAAATGATAACAACAAACTTTAAATTAATAGCTCGTACAATTTTAGTAAGTGTATCCGCATACGAGGCCTTGTATACTCGATCGGGTTTTCTTTTTCGTGTAGCCACAAAGATATCCTTGCTTGATAGAGGCTCAGAAGTTTCTTTCTTTTTTTCCTGATTATATAAAAAGTGGTATAAAAAAATTTCAGATTAAAGTTAATAAGTTCATATCTAAAAGAATAATAAGAAAAAAATATCAAACCTCGTATATTCGAGCAAAACTTTTTTTGCCAGTAGTGTGTGGATATTTTAACTTTTTGCGATTCTCGGTATTGGTTTGGGACATTTTCTGCAAATCAGCCAATGAATACAGAGTTGTCCAGTTCAGTTGTCCCAACAGATTCAAATCAAGCTTAAGTTGTACACTAAGTTATGTAACTTAAGTGCATTTGATGTATAAAGATAGTTCAGTGATTTCTAATTAAACATAAACCAGACATTCTCAGCAAATCATGGGACAGTACTAAGTTTTACCTTGTAGGCAGAAGAGTTCCAATAATTAAGAAGATCCCTAAATTGAGATTCAGGAACATCAACCGGCCTATTCTCCATTCGAAGCTCGTCATTCTCATAGGCTTTATAATGGTCATTCAATAATTGATTCTTATACTTTCTCCAAGCATTCTGAATTGAATCAAAAACCCACCTTTTTGCTGCATCAGGAATGTCATATTTTCCCTACAAATTTGGTACAGTTAGGTTAGTGTAAAAATATGAAATATCTACACAGAATATTGCAAACTTCATACCTTGATATATTTCCACATATCTTCTTTTGTTTCAAGTTTCCTCCAATTAAACATATTAAGAGGACAAAAGGCCGCATTCCTTGCCAATGTGCCAAGGAAACTACCCAACTCTGCTACAACATCATGAGTAGGACCTATGGGTTGATTGTTCTCGTTTAGCACAATTAGCTTGCGTTCTTTCCTACCATGAACACTTGGCATCAGAGTTTTGCCTCTTTTTCTTTTTTCGGCAGAAGCACCTGCATTAATATTAAGTAAGAATAATAACCATATATCCCGTCAATATTGTTTTTTAATTTGACAAAATAAAATTTATATGTTCTTGCCTTGTTCCTCGGATTGTTCATTTGTTTCATTATTGGAAGAATCCTCAAATTGTTCATGTACGAGTGGTGGAATCCAGTGGCAGTTGCTGCAATTGTTCACGTACTGCTTGTGATGCAAGAGAGGTAGAGTTCAGTGAATTTTGCTGCACTTGTTCATGTACAGTTTGTGCTGGAGGAGAAGCAGAAGGCAGAGGCAGTTGAAATAATTTTTCTTGCACTTGAGCTCCTAATCGCGGAAGTTATTTTTCAATTAAATTCAGCTGATGCTTGTCATTTGTCCTTGTAGCTTGAACAACTCTTTTTTGTTTTCAACGATGAAATTTTTTGGTTCAGCAAAGATGCAAGTGATCCGGCTGCAATGCAATTTTTAGCTTTTTTGTATTTACTTGAGTGTCCTTCCTGATTCATGACTATTCAAATTCCTGTCAAATTCAGAAAATTAAATAAGAAATAAGTTTATTTGATATAAGTAATGCTGGTATACACTTTGATGCTTCCTTTGACAACATACTAGCTGTAACCGGTAACAATGGACTAACTGAATCCAACATTTCTTATCAATCCTAATACATTGCTCAGCAACACATAAGGAGACAGTACCAACTACAACACAAGTAACAAAAACAGCTCCAACACATAAGAATCCAACATTTTCACTGAAATAAAGTATCATCGAAGTGCATGAACTTCTTAAGAGAGTAATGAGTAACCAAAGTGAAGCATGTCAAAATTCATCGATGAGCACTTCTCAAAACATGAAACAAAGTGCAGTACACTGCTGGAGTCAGAAAATTAAATTTAGATTTCTTAATGACGAATTCACCTACCTCTATCAAACACAAATGAAGAATTCTGATTTCCTGATTTACTGATGTATATTAACGTCACCAAGAGCTGCTAAAATACTAGAAGATCCCAAATCCTGCAAAATTGAACCATGTTAGACTAAAATACTAAAGAAAAAAAAATTATTAAAATTATATAAACAAGAGTAATTATAAAATATTGACAAAAAAATTATTACTCACTCTAAACAGAATATATTTAAAAGAATTTCAGAAGTTTCTTCTTTCATCATCTGATTCCATCCAGTCCCAATCAGTATCATCAAACTCATCCTCCTCTTTCGATGTTTCTATAATTGTATCATGTGAATGTTGCGCATTAGATGGAATTTCAACGACATCAACGGGTACATCGTCTCTTGAGCACCTAACGTCAACATGAACTAATCCACTTAAGGAACCAATGTCATCATTAGGCTCCCTCCAAAATGCATCTTCAATATTGGGGCAATTCTCTTCCTCTAAATCATATAAATCAACAGGGTCTTTATTCCTTGTATAATAAACATCTTTCTCAACAGGATCCTCCACATAAAAAACTTGATAAACTTGTGATGCTAACACAAAAGGGTCATCTGTGCTACATAATTTCTTAAAGTGCACACGGGTTAACCCGTATTCATCTATTTCATTACGAAACCAGTCGCATCTAAATAGTACAACACTAAAACAACCCCAATAATCAATCTCAATAATATCCTGAATAGCTCCATAATAGATAACCTCATCATCGATGGAATTTTGGTCCCTAGAGCTAGCAAAGCTATCGGTTGTTGCTAATAAAGTCACTCCACTGTTTTAAGACTTGCATCGGGAATCTCGTTCTACAGTATGAAATCGATATCCATTAATGAAATATGCACTATATCTTTTGGCGATTGCATTAGGCCCTTTAGCTAGCCATCTTACATAATCGGGCACTTCAATATTTTTAACTTTCTCAGCAAACCAATTGTTGAATTCCCGACTATGATTTCTTGCCCTTTCCCATGCATTTAATCTACTGCGATTACCAATTAAATTCTGCAATCATGAATATTTCAAGATCAATCATATCATTAAAAATGAAGTATAGAATAAGTGTTATATAACTTATCTTACTCGATAAATTTTTCCACTTGTTCATCTCCAGTATTGAACAGAGCATATCGATGTGCTTCATAACATAACTGTGGATCCATGTGAAAAGTATTTTTCTTCTTACTTCCAATTGGATGGCCTATAACAGGGGATATGGATGACAAATTTTGAGGGCACTCATCATCTACAATTGGGTATCTACTGAATCTTGTCTTCACACTGTCATGTAGGTATCTTGAACAAAAAATCAAACACTCTTCTGCCAAAAATCCCTCTGCTATCGATGCTTCTGGACAAGATCGATTACGAACAAATGCCTTGTATTTACATAAGTTCCTCTCAATGGGATACATCCAACGAAGATGAGCTGGACCCCCAAGCTTAATTTCATTCACCAAATGAATAGGCAAATGTGGCATTATATCGAAAAATGTTGGATGAAAAATCTTTTCAAGCTCACAATTTATTTCAACAATTTCAGAGTTCATTTTTTCAAGATCTCTTCGCCTTATGACCTTACTACATATGGCTCTAAAAAAATTACCCAACCTAATCAAGGCCAATGAAACACTCTTGGGCAACGTCTTTCTAACAGCAACCTAGAGCAAGTAATGCATTATAAAATGAGCATCATGACTCTTGTACCCTGATATTTTCATCTCCTTCACTTGCACGCGTTCTGAAATATTTGAAGCACAACCTTTTGGTAACTTGGCATTTTTTATGACGGTACAAAATATACTTTTCTGTTTTGGTTCCATGTAGAAAAAAGCTTTAGCCAAACTCACTGATCCATCATCATCTTCTCTTGGTGGTAACTCCTCTCGTATCCCCATTTCTTTTAAGTCATAGCGAGCATTTACATGATCCTTTGACTTTTTTTCTATTTCCAATAAAGTCCCAAGCAAACTGTCACATATATTTTTCTCGATGTGCATCACATCAAGATTGTGCCTCAATTTGTTATGCGCCCAATATAACAATTCAAAAAAAATAGATTTTTTTCCACGGACCCTTGTTATCCCGAGGTCTTTTCTTTTTGCCCTTTCCAAAAATATTGTGGAATTCAAGCAGCTCTTGAAACACTTCTACACCCGACAAAGGAGTAGGTGCAGGTNTGTGCATAATTACAAGTCGGGGCATGCCAACCTACCCCTTGGTGCTCCATCCTGAAAGCATTGCTAATGCTGAAAAATCACTAACTGTCCACAACAAGGCTGCACGCATTTGAAATGTTTGCTTTGTCTCAGCATCATATGTTTCTATCCCAGTTTCCCATAGTTCCTTCAATTCTGCAATAAGTGGTTGTAAGTACACATCTATATCATTTGCTGGAGATGAAGGACCTGGAATGATCATTGACAACATGATATATTCTGGCTTCATGCAAATCCATGGTGATAAATTATAGTTCATTAACATGACAGGCCACGTGCTATGAGATATGCTCATGGTTCGAAATGGGTTGAAACGATCACTCGAAAGACCCAACCTAACATTACGTGGATCTTTGGAGAAGTCAGGATGTAGAGAATCGAAATCCTTCCAAGCTTCTCCATCAGCAGGATGCCTAATATTCCCATCATTAGGTCGTTCATTAGCATGCCATCTCATTGCAATGGCTGTTTCAGGACACATGAATATCCTCTGAAGCCTAGGCTTCAAGGGAAAGTACCTTAAAACCTTTGCAGGAACTTTAGAACTTGTATTAGTCAAGGCACGATTAGAACTTTTCCATCTAGAAGACCCACAAACAGAGCAATTATCGGCATTTGCATTGTTATTCCAAAATAGCATGCAATCATTAGGGCATGCATGTATTTTTTCATAATGAAGACCCAAATCTTTTATCATATTTTTAGCATTGTTGAAAGACTCTGGCAGCTTAGCAAAAGGAAATGCCTCTTTTAACAACTCTAACAAGTCTGAAAAGGCTACATTACTCAGCCCATGCAAAGACTTAAACAAGTGCAACCAGATGGTGAAACTCAGTTTACTAAAGTTTTTACACCGGGGATATAACTCTTGTTTCCCTTCCTCTAATAATTTAAAAAATTTCTTAGCATCTTCAGATAGAGCCTCTCTCATCCCTTCTTCTTGTACCGGCTCACCTTTTACATTTCTGAATGTATCATGAAGTAATCCATCAATATCATCACACATGTTAGCACCTTCATCATTATTGCTTTGATGAGGTGTAATTATAGAGGAAAATCCTTCACCATGGAAAATCCATTCGGTGTAACCATCAACAAAGCCATTAACGACCAAGTGATCCTCCACCACATTTCTATAATGCCAATAGCGATTAATGCACTTTTGGCAAGGGCATAATATTTTATTTCCTTGGGAAGCTCGTTCAAATGCCTTATCAAGAAAATCATTCACTCCACGTATATACTCATCCGTCCATCTTAGGAGATGCATCCAACTTTTATCAACACTATCCATGAAAATCCTATACGACAAAAGTAATCAACAAAATTAACTCAATAAACCAAGATACATACTAATTTGACATGACCAAAACATAAAGGGGATGAAGTCAAAGAGTTACAAATAGTAAAGCAATTTTTGCATTGAGAAAGAATTATAAAATCATTAGAGAAGAGATCTGTTCTTAGTGTCAACGAAAGTTCAACATGGCTTGGAGAGTTAATGAGTTGATGTTGGATATAATAAGAATGAAAGTAGTTTCTGGTTGACATCTATAGTTGTGTAGTGAATCAAAGAAATCAAGCATGCTATTCTCATCTCTAACTAGTGTTGAAAATAGCGTGAAGCGAGGAAAAGCGACAACCCCCATTTTACGAAAAGCGATAAGCGAAGCGGAATGTTAAAAAAAAAATTAAAATAAATACGGCATAGACAACACATGTAATTGTAAGCAAATGTTCAATACTTGAATTAAAAAACTAAAGAGTAGCATCAATTAAAGCACAAAATGATAAAGGCAATAAGAACTAAGAATAAAAAATATATCATTGGGCAGAAATTGGGCAGAATCTGGGCAGAAATGGGGCAGAATTTTTCTGAAAAAATCGCCAGCATTTCGGCGCTTTTTGGACGTTTAGAAAGAAAAAAGAAAAAGAAAAAGAAGAAGAAGAAGAAGAAGAAGAAGAAGAAGAAGAAGAATGAAAATAAAAACATACCTGTTGAAAATTGAAAGCTGTTTTTGAGGAAGAAAAGGCTGGTTTAGAACCCTAGTTTGCTGCTGAAGAAGTGTCTAAAACAGAAGACTCAACGATTTGGGTCTTTTAATTGAAAATGACTCGTTTGGGCCTTTTAATTTAAGAAGCGATCGCTTCTTCCTCTCCCGACAGCTTCATCGCTTCTCGCTTTTTAGAGAGAAGCGGTCGCTTTTCTGTACCTGAGCCGCTTTTAGTTGGGGTAGCGACCAACCCATCGCTCCGCTTCGCTTCTCGCTTAAAGTGAGGAAGTGGACGATTTTTTTTAACACTGTCTCTAACATCCTCTAGGTTGCACCAAAAAGCCATACACATGAGTATTTCATTTTCTGTACAAGTTGGTGCTAGTACATCGTCCATCTATATTTCTCATATTCCATCAGTAGCTCTTTAGATTGTTACTAATAGACTCCCATTAGGAGCAGAAGTCAGGCATCATCTACCACAATTCAAGCGAATGGGATTCATTCCGTACGAATAAATGCGGGTCGCATTTCACAAGCGTGTGTTTTGCGGTGCCACTTCTGTTATTCCCTAACTCTTGTGTTTGTTCATTTACCAATGAAAATTGAAAAGAAAAGAGTTATCAGCTTCCTGTCCAGGTTTTTCTTCTTTACACTAAGAAGTTCAAGCTTAATAGAGCTTTGACTTAGCTTCACAAAGATTCAATTAAATAAGACAAAGAAAAGACTAGCGACCAAATCACTATTATCTCATGAAAAAGTTATCTAGACTGCTAGCATTATACGAGGTAGTGAGGTCAGAAACGACCAATAATCATTCGTCATGTAGAATATTTGATTCTTTTTTCTAACTCTCAATAAGCATTATTTGATTCGTCAAGGAATTAACAGAGATGGTGTATTTTTCGTCAAAGAAGCTGACAGATATGTGGTTTCAATTCAAGTACACTTTGGAGGATATGTATAAAGGGGCCATTGAGACTTGTCGAAAGAAGCATTTGCTTCCCTTTTGTACCCGAATCACTACTGATAATGGACGTGACAAAGAAGCCAGAAAATAGTGAACTATGTAGAGCAAAGTTTCAACTTTAGAAAAGCAGGCAATGTCTACTGATGACAAAAAAGAAAAGTACAATAAAGTATTGGGACTTTAAGACTAAGTGATAACCTTGCTATAAGTGATCTGACCTAAACTTTGAACGCCAGAAATTCCAGAATCTCCACCAGCAGAATTCTAGGAACATAAAAAAGAAAGATGAAAAAAATATTTTACTTACTATCTTCCCATTCTTAAGAACAAGTAAATACAACAATTACCAAAGAAGGAAACAGAAGCATTATCATTCGTAATCTAAATACTGAGTAAATCAAAGGCACGCAAGAGAACATACTGCCCAAGTGAAAAGAAATAGGAACAATTAAAGGAAAAATAATTCTACCAACAATTGATATATCCATCGATTTTTATTTATTTATCTATTTTGCAAACCCTACTTCTCTAGGTTTTACAGCTATTAGGAGTACAATCCAAACAAAACAAAAACCTAACCCTTAAACATTAAGGGTGAAAACCAAAATCAGGAAATAATGAACCACATTATTTCACTTATTGCACATTTCAACAAACAAAAGAGACACCTAACTTCCTCTTAATACCCAGAAGTGTGAATCATAGCTACTTTCGGCTCGAACTACATATAGATATAGAAAAAAGGCATTTTGTCACAGAAATTAACTTCCTTCAAAATACTAAAACGAAAATTTTCATTTTTGATGAAGTCCAAAGTAAGCAAAGCATTTCGACTCTAACCAATGTAACAGAGGAAAGGAGCAAGAAATAAAATTCCATCTGACCAACAATCACGGCAAATAGCTGAGATTAACATACCTCTCAGGATAATCAGAAGACATGCACCAACAATAGCCCTTTTTAAAGAACCTCTACAATCAAGAATTGCGCTTGTTTCACGAAAACCTAGCTTTGTTCTTCTCTGTTGTCTTTGTATTTTCTTCTTCTTGATCTCTGGTTTATCAAATTGCTCTATTCGTTGAGTTTATTTTTTGGAGTGTGGTTTATTTGAAGATCTTACACATCCGTTTGGACAGCTTCTCCGATTCGAGCATAATTTTGATTTTGGAATTTGGGGATTTAGGGAATTTTCTTCTATCCTTGAGATGAATCTATAAGGAGAATGAAATACATTAGAGGTAGAGAGGATTTTGAGATGAATCTATTTCTGGATTTTAGGATTGAAGAGAGGATTGTTTCTGGATTTTAGGAGTGAAGAAAGGATTTTAATGGAATAAAGCTTGAGAGAAAAAAGAAGGAGATGGGTCGTTAATTCCCGATGTATCTAATGACGGTGGGTGGATTTGCTGGGAAAAGGGGTTTTAATTTTTACATAATTAAAATTAATTATATCAGTCTATTGGAACGGTTTAAGGACCGTAGCGGAAAATTATTCTATGGCAACGGTTCCACTACAATTGGAACGGTTTGATAGTCATAGTGTGCCGATATCACCCAAGTGTTATGGTAACGGTTGTAACCGTTACTATAACCTATCTATGGCAACGGTTAGTGAACCGTTGCTAAGAAACTGTTGCCATAGGTCCATTTTCTAGTAGTGATAAAAGAAGCTACAATATCACAATTTAATCATCAAAGTTCGTCCTATTCCAACATCGCGGTTCCAGGTGTTGTTTCTTTTACTAATATCAACATCTTTTGCTATTTCGTATTTTGCAAGCACGTTTGCATGCATATCAATAATTTATTTTTATTGTTGCATCAACAATTTTTTATTATATAGTTTTTATTTCATGTTTTTGACTTGGCTAATTTCACATCTGTAAAATAATATTTTTCATTTAGGATTTAAATAATATTAAATTACTAGATGTTAGTTTCATTTCGGGTGTAGATAATACTATTAAATTCCTAAAATATTAGGCGTTGCTACATAGTTTAAAGGATGAAAGATTTAATAGTCAAAATTTAGTAAAAATACCTAAATATAATATAAAAAATAATTATACGAATTTTTATCTAATTTTAAGTATATTTTTAAGGATAATGAGATTAGAAAACTCAAACACTTGAATAAGACAAAATTAGATTATCGTCTACATGCCAAGTGTTTTATTTGTCATAAAGAACATATATGAATATGTTGTAATAATATAATTATTACATAAAGGGTATGTTCGGTACGAAGAAAAATATTTTACATGAAAATATTTCAAAAGCTTGTTGTGTTTTAAAATTTTATTTTATAACTCAATCACATAAGTTAATATTATTTACGTAAATTATTTTAAATTTTATCGTCAGTATGGTTACACGCGCAAAGCGTGTACCCTAATACTAGTATAGACTAATTGTATAAAGAATTATTTTTTTACACGATCAATGTAGTTTAATGTATTATGACGTACTACTTATCATGTCATCAGATTCATTTTATCATAGAAACTTATCAATAATTATCTTATAATGACCTAATTGTGTTAACTTTTTTTTCACGACATGAAACTTTGACACAACTATAAAAGATTAAAAGTGTACTGTCATTCCCAAAACGTAAAACAAGTCTATAAATATCTTTTGTTAATTACTAAAGAAAAGCAATTTAGTTTCCTATATATTTGGCCAAATATAGACCAGGTTCTTCGGCTATATATGTTTATATGAGGCAAAGGTCAAGTGGCAAAAATAAAAATTCTTCCTTTTTTATCGACTGTCCTCAAGTTTGTTTTGGTGAAATTTACCTCTAATAATATGACTTTCAAATCTTCACCGAACAAATGAATTTGGTTTGTTATTGTCTCTTAATGAAGGCTTTTCTCTTGTCACCTTCTCTTCTTCTTTTTCCTTTACCAATTCTTCATCACCCCTTTGGACATGGCCATAAACCTATCATTCTAATTGCAAATATTATAAGGATTGAAGAGAGAAGGCTTAGACAAGAGAAAATCAAAGCTAGTTTAGATTATATTTTGAAGAAATAGAGGAAAGGAAATTATTATTTAAGGTGGCGAAAAGATGAATGACTTGTTTTCTCCTTCGTTAAAAAAATATCAGGACCTGAAACAACAGGTCCAGATGGATGATCTGGAAGCCGGGGCCGGAGGAGGGTCCGGCCTCGACCCTTCCCAGAATGAAAGCATTGATCTTGCTAAATTCTTTGAAGATGTAGAGAATGTGAAAGAAGATATGAAAGATGTTGAGAAGCTTTATAAAAGATTACAAGAATCAAATGAAGAGAGCAAAACTGTGCATAGTGCCAAAACTGTGAAGGAAATTAGGTCTCGAATGGACAATGATGTGACACAGGTATTGAAACGAGTTAAGATCATCAAAGGAAAGCTTGAAGCTTTGGAAAAATCCAATGCAGCTCATAGGAAAATTCCAGGTTGTGGTCCAGGATCCTCTGCTGATCGAACGAGGACTTCTGTAGTTAGCGGTTTAGGGAAGAAATTAAAAGTTCTCATGGATGATTTTCAAGCATTGAGAGCAAGAATGAATTCAGAATACAAGGAAACGGTGGCGAGAAGGTACTGTTAAATTGTATATTAATTTTATCTAAAAGTTTAAACTATTAGAGAGAGAGCAAGCGACTTCCTATCTCTTATATCTTTGAGCACATTCCCTATCTATTAGTAAGTTTTTCAAAAGGCTTTCCTCTAAGTCCTTTATAACTCTAACTAATATATACAACAAGGATATGGGCGTTAACGAGCATGAAAACGAACGCGCTAAGGAGCAACGGCTTTTGCACAACAGCTACGCCCTTACTTCATGCCTTGTTTTTCGCTAAGAAACTAATCTAAACAGAAACTGTATTTTATATCAAAGTCAACTTTCTCCCTTTTTGGTTTAGTGAAATAAGGGCCTGGCAACCCAAGTTGCTAACTCTTCACTTTTGGTGTCGCACCTGTGTCAACACGATATGGGTGAGAGTGTGGGTAAGGGATCCATACCGAATCTGGTCAACCGATTTTGGGAACTTTAACCAAATTTGGCGGAGCAATTCGGGACAGATACAGTAATTTCTTAAGTAAAACAAAAGATATGGTGAAACTGAAGAAAATGGAATACCTTGTATATAAAATTACTTTGCTAGTCCTTTTCCTTTTATCTCCTTCTCAGATTCTCATCTTGATTAATGTTTCTCCTAATTCTCGGAATACCTTGTAAGTTTTCACATAACGTCTCATAATTTAGACATGTTTTTATAACTTTATTTTTAGATATTTGAATAACGTTTAGCCGAAACCCCACACCCGTATCCGTACCCCCGAATCTTAAAATTTAGATCATGAAGGATCTGACCACTAGATCCGCACCCGTATCGGACACCCGCACATGAGTCCGAGCAACTTAGCCTGCAACCTTGCTTCAACTTGCTTCACCTATATCTTTCTATTTTCTCAAATGGACTTGTTCATAGATCTTGAAACTAGCTCAACATTCATTCTCAATAAATCTATTTGTTTACTTATTTATGTCTTCAACAGGTATTTCACCGTGACAGGAGAGAAAGCAGACGATGATCTGATAGAGAATTTGATATCAAGTGGAGAGAGCGAGTCGTTTCTCCAGAAGGCGATTCAAGAACAAGGAAGGGGACAAATTATGGACACCATATCAGAAATTCAAGAAAGACATGATGCTGTAAAAGAAATTGAGAAGAACTTAATTGAGCTACATCAAATTTTTCTAGACATGGCTGCATTAGTGGAAGCACAAGGACAACAATTGAATGATATAGAGAGTCATGTGGCACATGCAAGTTCATTTGTTAGAAGAGGTACTGATCAACTCCAAGAGGCTAGAGAGTTACAAAAAAGCTCAAGAAAATGTACTTGCATTGCCATTCTCCTTATCATTCTGCTTATTGTTGTCCTTACTTTTCCACTTTGGTCACCTTTAATTACTAGCCGATTATAGAAAATATTAAAAAGAAAAGACCCTTTGGAAATATTATTCATTGTAAGAATTTCTTTTCTTTATTCATTGTCATCTCGCCTTTTGTTTTGTGACAATACTTATAGAAGTAACTTCTGTCATATTAATGGCTTGCTTCATTTTGTACATACATAGTTATATCCTTATATTAATCTGTGTAATCATTGTGCCGGTAGAGAGAAAACAGTGCGATATGTTTGAATGTGAATAGTGATGTACGCAGAATTTTGCAAGCATATTATCATAGCTCGACTGGCCTGTGGATTTAGGATGTAAAAGTTCTAAGGCTTTACTTCTTTCCAATTGATGTATTTTTATAGTAGACATGAATAATTTAAATGATGGAGTTTTGAGCCGAGGTGCATGCAACCTTGTTTGCATGGTATAAATGATCCCAATAATTTTGAGATGGAGCATATTAGTCCATTTAGGTAAACAACTAAGTGCACCATTTAGTCTCTTTGCATGGGTGCCGCAGAAACTATTAGTCCAATTCTAAAAAAAATATATACATAAAATACCTAATTTGGCGAAAAGACCATGGGTTCACGTGCCCCATATACTTGTCATAAATTCACGCATGGGAGCAGAGAGTTTTTAATATAAAGGGAAAGAAAGCTCTTTATATATATATATATATATATATATATATAGTTTTTTTAATGTTCCAATTTTTTACTTTTTACTCCTTCATTAGATAATATCGATTATAAAAAGATTATTAACAACTTTATATCTCAAAAGCTAGAATAATATATTTCAAACAAAAATATATTTTATAATTAACTTCTTTTTAAAAATTTAGACCTCATATTAAATTTTGGCTTTAGGCCCCAATTGTGCTTGAGCTGCCACTGGTGCGCGCACACACACGTATACAATGAAGTAAACGGTAAAGATTTAAAAGGTGAATCCACCAAATCAAAATTTTGAATCCCCCTCTACTTTTGCGTGTAGTATTTTGCTTACCCGTTGGATCTGAATATTTTAAGTGAGGTACGATTTCTACGATTTTTATCTATTTCTGATGTTTTGTGCAGTTTGTTGTTGTTGCCATTTCTAGGATTTGAGAAATTTCCTATTAAATCTAGAGTTTATTAACATTTGACAGATATAAAAAAAAACTACTTACTTTTGGCAAACTTATAGAGGATTAAAACTGCTAAAAAATTTATACGTTATATATTTAAGGGACCCTTTTAGTATATCCCCAAACATAAAGGACTATTTTTATCATTTTCTCTAGTAAAAGCAGCCCAACAAATGTAGGAAAAGCGCTAAATTTCAAAAAAGGCACTCGAACTGCTGATTTTCTTCCTCAGCAGTGTATGTCATGTTCTTGAAACTATTTATCAAACGCCATTACAGCTCTATTACTTCCCTCACAAATCCTCCTTCCAAAGAATCCGAAATAATCCAACTTTGCAGGTCAGGTTTACTATCTCAATCTCTAAACCTTCTCAATACCATTAACAAAATCTCCTCAAAACCAATATTATACGCCACATTAATACAAGCATGTACGAAAGCCCATTCATTCAATCACGGGCTTCAATTCCATGCCTACGTCATCAAAACGGGCCTCGAAAATGACCGTTTTGTCGGGAACAGCTTGCTTGCTTTGTATTTCAAATTGGGTCCCACTTTTTCGGAGACTCGTAGGTTCTTTGATGGCCTGTTGTACAAGGATGTTGTTGCTTGGTCTTCAATGATAACTGGGTATGTTAAAATAGGAAAGCCTAATGTTTCTTTGAAATTGTTTGGGGAAATGATAGGTTTGGGTTTTGAGCCAAATGGGTTCACTTTGTCTGCTGTGATTAAAGCTTGTTCTGAAATTGGGATTTTGAAATTGGGCCGTGGGTTTCATGGTGTTGTGATTACCCGTGGATTTTATGAGAATAATGTGATTGTGAGTGCGTTGATCGATATGTATGGGAAGAGTTATGAGTCTGGTGATGCAGTTAAACTGTTTGATGAATTGCCTGAACCAGATGCTGTTTGTTGGACTTCGGTTATTTCGGGTCTTACGAGGTGTGAAATGCATGAGGAGGCTTTGAGGTTGTTTTATTTAATGCATAGGAAGAATGGGTTGTCACCGGATTTGTTTACGTTTGGGAGTGTTTTGACTGCATTGGGTAATTCGGGTAGGTCGAGGCAAGGTAGAGAAGTTCATGCTAAGATTGTGACAAGTGGACTTTGTGGGAATGTTGTTGTCGATAGTAGTTTAGTTGATATGTATGCAAAATGTGAGCTGGTTGATGAGTCTCGGCGTGTTTTTGACCGAATGGCTAAGAGGAATTTTGTGTCATGGTGCGCGTTGATGGGCGGATACTGTCAAAAGGGTGACTTTGACGTTGTCATCGTGCTTTTTAGGATGATGGGGGAGGTTGATCTTTATAGCTTTGGAACTGTTCTTCGTGCCTGTGCAGGGTTGGCAGCTTTGAAGTCGGGGAAGGAAGTTCACTGCCAGTATTTGAGGAGAGGTGGCGGGAACGATGTTATTGTGGAATCAGCTCTTGTTGATCTCTATGCAAAATGTGGCTTTGATAATTATGCCTATGTCATTTTTCGCCAAATGAAGGTTAGGAACTCGGTTACTTGGAACTCGATGATATCTGGATTTGCTCAGAATGGGAAAGGCACAAAAGCTATTGCAGTATTCGAGGAGATGATTAGTGAAGGTGTTAAGCCAGATTATATCAGCTTTATCGCGGTTCTTTTTGCTTGTAGTCACAGCGGTATGGTTGATGAAGGGCGAAAGTATTTTCTCTCAATGATTAATGAGTATGGTATCAAACCTCATATTGAGCATTATAGTTGCATGGTTGATCTTCTTGGTCGGGTTGGAGAGGTAGAAGAAGCTGAAAGCTTGATTCAAGGTGCGGAATTCAGAAACGATGCTTCCCTTTGGGCTACCTTACTTGGCGCTTGTACTAGTAGTACAAATCCTACTGTTGCGGAGCGTATTGCAAAGAAAATGATGGAACTAAAACCTGATTATCATTTGAGTTACGTTCTTCTAGCAAATGTGTACAGAGCAGTAGGCCGGTGGGCTGATGCTCTTGAGATTCGGCGGCAGATGCAAGAAAAAAGAGTGAATAAGATAACCGGAAAGAGCTGGATTTAAACGAATACTATCAGGTTATAGCCTTTTCAGTGAAGAACTCTATCAGGTTGCCCCTACAAAGACTTTCCTGAAAGCGCTCAAGATGATAACACGGATACATGATAGCACATTTATCAATTTTATTCCTTTCAGGATGACCCTTGTTACAAACTGCAACTTGTAGTCCTCGCTTATATGTATTCCTTGGACTGAGGTAAGCATGCAGTATGAAGACCAGTTGTCAGAGTATCCAGCATTATAGACGTGTATAGCGGACACGTCACTGGATATAGAGATCTCAACCCATAATATTGATAGCCTTAAGGTTTCCTAATAGTTCAAAATGTAGGGACCTGACACATCTTGATCTCAGTCTTTTAGGAAAGGAAGAGTTTCTAGTGACACAAGCTTTTCGATAACATGACCGACCAAAATCGTGAGAATGCTTTCAGCTATGTGCAACATTGTGGAAATAGAATTGTCGAATTCTTTGAGATTATTTATAAACATTGACAGCAGAAGAAAAAAGCTGATTTTTTCAAAGCTTTCTTCCCTTAGTTGAACTTATCCTGTTACATCTTGAAATTGTATTGTCAATCACCATGAAATTTATCAGAGTTTCAAAGCTGATACTTTTATTAGGTTGCATCTCTTCTTTCCCCATATTAACTGAAAATGAATCTCTAGTATGAACCAAGAGATTCATACAAGAGCAAACTGTAATGCACTCTGTTCTTGAAGGATAAAAAGAGCAAACTGCAGCTTGTTGAAAAGTGCTGCTAACTAATTATTACTAGGTGCTGCTTAAATGGAATCTATAGTTCCTGTTTGGCTATAGATTTTAGTTACCTTTTTCCAAAAAAAAATTGAAAACATCGCTTGTTTTCTGAAAAACTGGTTTAGGGCAGTTTTTGGATGAAAAATGTTCTTTCAATCATAAAACTTCAACTTTTTTTCTAAATAAAATGCATACCCAAATACAACTTCAACTTCCAAAACTTATTCTTTTTCAAGTTTCAACAAAATCTATGTCCAAATGCTACATAGTTTGTGAGGGGTATTTTCTTTTCTGGGGCGGGGGGTGCTTGGTTTGGGAGGAGAGAAGTATTTCATTGTAATTTGCACAACAGCTCCGAGCCAGCATATAGTAAAAACAAAAACAGCAGAACATGCCAACATAAGCGCAACTCAAACATAAAACATTAACACTTGAGTTGGTGGGATGCGCCAGGCCCAAGCAATAGTGCAAGACCAGGGCGACGCGCAAAGGTCCAGATAGCAAGCTACCTTGATGAACCTTTCCCCTTAAAAAATTGAGTTAATATCGTGTGAGCCGATGGCTCACATATCAGATATTAAACTGATAAGAACAGATACTACACTTGATCTTAGCCAAAAGGCCGAGAAAGGTATGCTTTCCTTAGTGCTCGGGCCTCTGCTTCTATAATGTTTCTCAACTCTCTGTTTTTCAGTTTCTAGCGATGTGGGATTAACAAACCTTATTATATTACTCCTCTTAGTTCCCAGGAAGGAACTCCTTTTCTTTCCTTAAAGGATACCAAGGGGCAACTGCAGCTTGTTGAAAAGTAAAAAGTGCAGCTATAACTTCTTATTACTAGGTTTGATGTAAATAGAAGAGAAAAGACCCAAAATAGTCAGTTATCTTTGAGGTAAACATAAAACAATCCCTTGTATATTATATGGAGCACATTTAGGAACTTAAGAACGTAGTACAACTTGATGAAGGGCCGCATTGATAAAATTGACAGGAACTTTTGGAATACTATCTTGCTTAGTTGATCAATGATTCTCAAACTGGAGAAGAAGGCTTCCATCGGGTATCGAAATAACATAACCATGCATAGATGAATCCCGGAACTGGGGAAGTACCTTATGAATTTGATAAACTGTCATCTTGGAAATTATGAAGAATTTGTGTAGC